CCTCCGATACGCACCCGTCTGCTCCTGTGCGCAGGCGGCAGATGCCCTGTGTGACTTCATTCAGATGAGACCGTTTCAACCCCCCTCCAGCCCCTCCTCCACCATCGTAGCTAAAGCTTCATCAGAGCATCCGGACTCTTACTGCGTTCCCTGTCTCATCTTAACCAGTCCAGCAGAGGACCACCATGTTAAGCCTGGTTCTGCCAGAGGTTTCTTCCCAACGGGGAGTTTTTCCTCTCCACTGTTGCTTCATGCTTGCACATCATGGACGGGTTCTCTTAACCTGTGTTATCCAACTGGACTTCCATCTTCCAGGTCCCTGAGTGAAGCTCTGGTATCAGCCATAGTCTTTGTTCCTGTTCATGCATATCTATCAAAATTAAGAGCTATGTTTCCTGCCGAGGTCTGAGCGCCAAAGTAAAGGTATCAATAAATTTCTCCTACTTTTTTTTTCTCTTTGTGTGAGTTTTTCAGATTAAAATAAACTGAGCTGAATTGATACGGTTCTTCCTCTTCTACCCTTTTCTGCCTAAATCTTTGTTAGTTAAGCATTTTACATTTGTGAAAAGAATTCTGTGCAAAAATTTACGGAAAGGAAATTAATAAATAAAAGCCATGTTTTAAAGCAAAAAGTTCAGAGTGATTTTATTTTAGTTCCACTTTAAAAACTGACCAAACTGTCACTATTGAAATGTTTTTTTTAAAAAGAAAACAACTTTGGATATAACGATGGATGAAGAATACGTCAAATTCTGTAAAGATACGTTTTTTTTTTTCTGACAACCTGAGTAAGCGTCATATATTTGACCACCTGACAGCCAACACTGACAGGGTGCTAGAACATTTCACCGAACAGACAGTGTTGAGGCCGACTGTCAAGTAAACCTAACATCCTGGAGAATCTAACATTCAGCTGTTTTTTTCTGTTAACAGACCCTTGCAGAAGAATTGATTAAATAATATATAGAATATGTTCAAAGGACTGCTGCTCAGTTATTTAATCAACCTGAGGTCATTAAAAGTCATTCATTGGAAAAATAGAAACACTTAAAGGACAGCAAACAGGAGATTTAAGCAAAGAAAACGATCCATTACACAAATAACACAAATCAACGCACATATAACACATCAAATTTAAATGAAAAGAATAAAAAAATAAAATAAAAAAAAACTATCAATCCTTTATAGGGCAAGTTACAGTTTTTGATCATTTGCATATCCAGTCATTCAGCAAAGATCCTGCTACATGGCTGGACATCTTATTTTGGCATTTCACCAAAGAGATAAACCCTTGAACGATTATAGTACCTACTGGAAATTAAGAAGTTAAGGGGAAACAAAGTTAACTGTCATGATGTTACAGAGTTCAGACCCAAATGCAGAAAACCGAACAGAGAGACCAGGGAAAAGGTTTAAAGGGTTTTATTGAAGAAGTTTAACAGAGGGAGAAGTGTTGCTCTGAACACTGCTCAACCAGAACTGTAAAGTGAGGGGAAGACACAGCGGTTAGTTCAGGCTCACTGGGGAATTTGACTTGTGAACTTGGAGAGGAGGATTTGGTTGCCGACTCACGTTTCCAGAGATGTTGTTGAATCCTTGACTCCTTTCTGTGTGCCGTGGTTCCAGTGTTTGTCTGATTCGGTGGAGGGTGGAACAGGGTTTACCCGGAAAGCGGTTGATAGTTGCACTGCAAAAAATAGAAATCTCAATAAGTTATTTTTTCTTAAAATAAGTGTGTTTTTCCTTGATTTGAGGAGGTAAGTAAGACACTTTGCCAATGGAACAAGACAATTTCCTTTTAAAATAAGGCCCCGTCCACACGAAGTC